ATTATTATAAGCAGTGGTTAATGGGTTCATGCCAAGCCATTTATTATATAGGTCTAACAAATTCATGTGTTATCACCTAAACCTAAGTGTAACTTGGGCGGGCTAATCCAAACCAAGCCTAAAAAAACAGGGCTTGGATTGAAGTTTTTAAAACTTAGGTTGGGCTTAGATTGAAAAATCTCAACTTAAATTGAATTCAGGTCATACTCGGTTTGAGGTTTCGAATTCACTAGTTCAATCTAAAGTCAACTTGAATTACTAAAATCGAGTTCAACTTGAATTCACAATTCAAGTTATATATATACACTCAAAATTTAAGTGTATTTTAGGTTTTTTATTGAATTTATTTTGAATAAAAGTTGGTCAAGTTATTGCATCATGTTTGAATTTGATCCCAAAATTGAATCCAAATTACAAAATCGATTTGAATTCGAATTAGTTAACCCAAACTTTAGTCCGGAATTAACTTGGGTAATACTTAAATTGAATGACTTAGGTTAAAAGTCGAGCTTGAGTTGAGTTATGGTTGAAAGTTATAACTTGGGTTGGGTCAGAATTAACACTCTAACCCGCCCACCCCTCCCAGCTGCACACCTAAACCAGCTAAAAAAAAAATCCAGACCGTTGATCTTTGATCTATTTTGCAGATTGTTTCTAAAAATCTGGGGCCTACCCAAACCATCTCAAGTGTGAAAAATACACAAAAAAAAAAAATTGTTTTGGAAACAGATGGTTTAAAGGTGTAACAAACCCAGTTCCTGGAGGATTTGGATCATTGGTTTCTTAAGCAAAACCTTGGGCCGTGTGCCCAAAGGCATGGCCTGAACATAGCAGTCCAAATGAGCCATACACACACCTTGAAATCAACTTTGATGTTGCCGCTGTCATCTCCCATAGAGCTGGAATCAGACCCACTTTGTCAATTACTATCCTTTTTTATTTTTGTCAAGCACTATTAAATGCAGGAGAACCATGATGTTCGAACTCACAATTTTAAGATTCAACAGCGGGACATGGACCATTAAACCAGCCATTAGCCTTATTGTCAATCATTATCTATTGTTGGCTTCTTTTCCTTAATATCCTATTGATGCATCATCACTCGTTACACGTGAAATAAATTTTAAAAATATATTTTTTATTAAATTTATAAAAAATATAAATTATATGTGTAATTAAATTAAAGACAATTTTCTTTTAACCCCTTAGGGTTGCAATTTAATCCAATAATATAAACAGGTTCTGTGGTTGAAGGAGTTTAATCAAACATCGATTGAATTTGCTTCTTTGACTAAAGAAGTAATCGAATTTTGCCAAATTTGCCAAAGAAGGTGAAAGCTCAAGCACTCGGCAATAGCTACTAAAACCTATCCAAAACCAGAATGACCTCTTTTTTTTTTTGTTGTTCTTATTTTCAGACCTCGAGAAATGTTTTACTCTCTATAGTTTGTTCAAGTTCAATTCATTTAAAATACAATGTATAGATATTATTTAGGCGAAAAATATAATAAATAAGATTCTTAACTTAATTGATTAGGTGTTTCACTTCAAATGACCAGAATATGATATACATCAAGCCTCATTGGACATTTGTCTTTTTATATATACTTGAATGCCGAGATTGTGGTAAATTTCACTGGACAATTGTCTTTTTAGATATATTTGAATTGAGCCGAGTCCAACAGAGAATAAAATTTAAAAATTGAACCAAATTCAAATTTAATATAGTCAACACAAGTTGAGCTCAAACAACTTAAATTCTACAAGTTCTACTCAGCAGAAACCAATCTAGTCCATTACCACAAACAAAAAAAAATCTGCTCCAATCTTATGTATGTCGACGTTCCCCCACGTGCTTGTGCATATATGCATGTGTGTGTTAGAGAGAGAGAGAGAGAGAGAGAGAGAGAGAGTTGTCATATCCATTGTCACTGTTTTATTGCTGGCGAGGATGAAGGGTTGGTATCAAAACAACAAAACAAGTAAGATAATTTAGCAAATGTTGTCAGCTACCACTATCAATGGTCGAGGAATGGCTCTGTCCTACCTTCCATACGATAACCAAACACCCATTACAAAACAAGTACATGTCCAATACCTTAATAACAAAACACAACCCTCTTCACTCCCAAAACCACTCTGCTACTTCTTGTTGAAAGCCCACAAAATTCTTAAATGCCAACATAATGGCTCGATATATGTTTCGGTTAGTTCAAAAATGAAAATATTTCTAAACAATATGAAAATAATTATCACTCTACATAGTTTTGTTTCATTTTTATCCCATGGAGCCGACTACCGTACAAGCATTTAGCTTTTTAGTATCATGCTAAAAAGTTGTTAGGCGTAGAAGACAGTAAATTCTATCACTTGTAAAAGCAAAAGATAAAACAACCAGTTTCACTAGTTGCTTTTTTACTTTGTCTTTATATACAAATATTAGTACAATAATAGTGAGAAATTTACAGGATTAGCAAATAATTTACAACAATAATAGAAAATTTTACAACATTAGTAAAAAAATTTATAATAGTAGTTGACAAATTTACAATATCACTGAAAAATTTATAACAGCAGACAATAGTAATAAGTAAACTTTAACTAATATGGTGGTAAAAGTATGATTGACACATTTAACCACATTTATTGTAAACACGACACTAGTACATTTCACTGGTGTCATAGATTTATCTTTAAGTTTATATTATTATCCACGGTTCTTATAATATTAACCAAAAGAAAAATAAAATTGATCTATATACTAATAACTTTAACCATAGTTATTCTAAGCTTACAACATTTGTGAGAAAAATTACCACGTAGACAAAATTAACACATTTGTGGGCAAACACCCATTACACAACAAGTACATGTCCAATACTTTAGTAACAATACACAACCTGCTTCACTCCCAAAACCACTCAACTACTTGTTTTTGAAAGCCTAAAAAATTGAGTAATGTTAAATGAATTTAAAAATTACACTTGATAATTTCAACCATTGAATAGGTATTGAGTTCTAATAAATGTTGAGACTCACAATAAAATCAATAGTTGTAATTATCAAGTCTATTTTTTAAATTCATGTAATATTGCTCTACAAAATTTCTTAAATTCCAACATAATGGCTCGGCACATCGTTTCAGTTAGTTCAAAAATGAAAATATTTCTAAACAAAATGAAAATAAAGAAAAATTTTAAAATCTAGTTTTGAAACTTATTAAAATATTAAAAAACATTCCAAAACATGAGATTTCAACATCCATTTACTAATTCGCTTTTGATTTCTAAAGAAACCGACGCGTTTTCTTGATTGGGCTACACCTTCTTTTCTGTTACTGTCTCTGCATTGAATGATGAACTTTATTAGTTTTTGCCTCCAACCCGACCATTTAGCGAAAGGATTCCCTCACCTGAGAATTGACGTTCACACACTATTCCTCCCCACTAAAAAGAGTGATTGAAAATCCCGAGAACGTAAAATAAAGATGCAGAAGTGAGAGTACTCCAAGGCTTTCCTCTCTCTCTCTCTCTCTCTCTCTCTCTCTCTCTCTCTCTCTCTCTCTCTCTCTTTCCTTGTGGAAAAACAAAATGAAATTTTAATCATTCATCTCCATTGTTACAAATATTGAATGACAATTCATATCCACCACAGGACAATGTACTTGGAAAAAAGCCAAAAGGGCAGGGACAATAAGCAAATTACTCTTATTGACATGTTGGGAAGGTTCATGCACGGGGAAAGAAAACGGGCTTTTCTTTAAGAGGAGTGGAGTACCCTTTGGCAGATAACTAGTTTGCTTCTCATGAGAAAGACAACTTTATCAATTTAGGCTGAGGGGTTTGAGATCTCACCCAATTATAATGCCCAAAAGGTTTTGGAGTTTACCTCTCTTTTTCGTGTTCATTTGTCCCTTTCATTAGTTGGATGGTTTAGCATATGGGAGAGAATAATAATAATAATAATCATAATGGAATCCTTGAAATAATTCATGAAAAATGCTGTCCACACACTTCTAGATCTTTCAAAATCCGTACCCTCTGTCCCTCGCTGGAAAAAGAGCAATCAGATATAAAAACGGGAAATATTATGTAAACACTGAATACTTAGAATTATCTACTAATAACAAGTATCGATTAAATCTAATAATCACTAGCAAGATTCTAAAACACGTTTGAATTTATGTTTCACATCAAGTTAACAATGCCATTGGACTACCCGTGCGGGTTATCGTGTAGAATTGCTAACTATGAATTTCTTTTCACCAAGAACAAAAATAATTACAGAAATGCAATTTTAAATTACATTCTCAGAACATGATATTGCACAATGAGATGGTTGAACAAACAGCCACAGAGTTAGCTGAAAAGAAAAAGCAAATTTCACTGCCTCAAATAGTTAAGTTAATAACAACTACATCCAATCTAATGATTACTTCAGCAGACTCCAAGTATCAGTACCAGTACCAATACCAGGGCAATTACCCATATTCTAGTATTTCAAAGAATAAGATAGAGGCCCATTGCAGGACATACCATGCCCTATGCTAGTCCTTGCAATTATACATAGTGAAAAATGACATCCTAATACAAAAGGCTCCCATTACTGCAACGTCTGGGGAGAGTCGGATATACGTCTTTTTATCTTCGTATGCAACAATACTATTTCCGTGAGACAAAACTCATAAAGCCTAAGCCACAACAGAATAAACTTACAGATACACACTGACCCACAATTGAGTATAATGACATGGTTGAGACAAAAGAAAGAAAAATAGCAAAACAACTAACCTAAAAATTAGGAAAAGCTCATAGTAGAATTTTGCTAATTACTGTATTAAAAAGACAAGACCTTATCTCATTGCCAAATTAATAAAACCTGCAAAAGGTACTTTCATCCACAACAAAATCTTACCATCCATCCCTGCATTAATTCCAATCAGTCATACTGTCTCGCCTGTCGTTTGCTGTCAATATATTCAACAAATTCTCAGTTGAACACGGGCAAGTTATGCTAGAAATGATTTCCAAATTTCAGATTCTTCATTCTGTAATTCAGTGACAGCATCACAGTTCCCATGAAAGAGAATTTTGTTAGAACTAGCTGAGGTAGAACAGTAGCAGAGAACAAAACTCACCATGCCAAGCTATCCAGTCACCATATTCCTTTTGTTTCTCAATCTCTCTTTGTTCCAACCCATCTCTGCTTTGAACCAAGAAGGTCTCTCTTTACTCTCATGGCTTTCAACTTTCAATTCATCTTCCTCTGCTACTTTCTTCTCCTCATGGAATCCAACACACCAAAATCCATGCAGCTGGAATTACATAAAATGTAGTAGTGATGGGTATGTTTCAGAAATCACAATCAACTCCATTAATCTTCCAACCACCTTCCCTACTCAGTTTCTCTCCTTCACCTTCCTAACCACCCTTGTCCTTTCAAAAGGAAACCTCACCGGAGAAATCCCGCCTTCGATCGGAAATATGTCGTCTCTGATCACCCTGGATCTCAGTTTCAATGCTCTAACAGGAAAGATACCACCAGAAATTGGAAAATTATCTGAGCTGGAGCTGTTGTTATTGAATTCAAACTCATTGCAAGGTAGAATTCCAACAGAAATTGGTAACTGCTCAAAGCTAACACAGCTTGAACTGTTTGATAACCAGCTTACAGGAAGAATTCCTGCAGAAGTTGGCCTATTACGGACTCTAGAAATCTTTCGTGCCGGTGGAAACCCAAGAATTCATGGAGACATCCCAATGCAGATATCAAACTGCAAAGGACTAGTCTTTCTGGGTCTTGCAGATACTGGGATTTCAGGGCAGATTCCACATAGTTTAGGAAAACTAAAGAGTCTCAGGACTCTATCAGTTTATACAGCAAATCTCACTGGCAAGATTCCACCAGAAATTGGTAATTGTTCAGCCTTGGAGGATTTATTTGTCTATGAAAACCAAATTTCTGGTGACATTCCAAGTGAACTGGGGTTACTGCAAAATCTGAAAAGGCTGTTACTGTGGCAGAATAATCTGAGTGGGATTATTCCAGGAACTCTTGGTAACTGTTCATCTTTGACAGTCATCGACCTCTCTTTGAATTTCCTAACTGGAGAGCTTCCTCTGTTTCTTGCAAATTTGGGGACATTAGAGGAACTTCTTTTGTCAGGGAACAATATTTCTGGAGAAATTCCACCATCCATTGGCAACTTTTCCAGCTTGACGCATCTTGAATTGGATAACAACAACATTTCTGGTCAGATTCCACCCAGCATTGGGAAATTGAAGGAGCTTTCTCTGTTCTTTGCCTGGCAGAATCAGCTTCATGGAAGTATTCCAACTGAGCTGGCCAACTGTGAGAAAATTCAAGCATTGGATCTTTCTCACAATTTCCTTTCTGGGTCAGTCCCAAAGTCTCTCTTCAATCTCAAGAACTTAACTAAGTTGTTGCTGATATCAAATGAGCTTTCTGGTGGAATTCCACCGGATATAGGAAATTGTACCGGCTTAACCCGTTTGCGACTCGGATTAAACACATTAGCTGGTAAAATTCCTTCAGAGATTGGGCACTTGAAGAATTTGAGTTTCCTTGAATTGTCAGAAAATCAATTTACTGGAGAAATACCCCCAGAAATCGGCAACTGCACAGAGCTGGAAATGGTTAATTTGCATGATAATAAGCTCCAAGGCACAATTCCTACCTCATTGGAATCACTTGTTGAACTCAATGTTTTAGACCTTTCCATGAATAGCATATCAGGTACAATCCCGGAAAATTTGGGCAAGCTAGTACTTTTGAACAAACTGGTATTGAATGGAAACAATATCACTGGTTCCATTCCAAAATCACTGGGCCTCTGTAAGGATTTGGAACTGTTGGATTTGAGCAGCAACAGAATCAGTGGTTCAATCCCAGATGCGGTTGGTCACTTGCAAGAATTAGATATCCTATTGAATCTGAGTTGGAATTCTTTGACAGGGCAAATCCCAGAAGGCTTTTCAAATTTTTCGAATCTTGCCAACTTGGATCTCTCTCACAACATGCTGACAGGAAGCCTTCGAGTGCTCGGAAGCCTTGACAATCTTGTTTCCCTGAATGTCTCGTACAATAATTTCTCAGGTTCTCTCCCTAATACCAAGCTTTTCCAAAGCCTTCCTGCCACTGTTTTTGCTGGAAACCAAGAGCTGTGCACTGCAAGGGAACAGTGCCCTGTTAATGGAAACCTACATGGAAGGAAATCCATGAGAAATCTTACAATTTGTGTTGTAATCAGTATAATAGCGACTATGATAATCTTAACTGCTGGAGTAATCTTATTTATCAGATCTTGCAGTAAAACATTCAAGGAGAATGATGAAGAAAATGCTATGAAGTGGGATTTCACCCCATTCCAAAAGCTACGCTTCTCTGTAAATGATATTGTAACAAAGCTTTCAGAATCTAACATTGTAGGGAAGGGTTGTTCAGGAGTAGTTTATCGTGTCGAGATGCCAATGCAACAGGTCATTGCAGTGAAGAAGTTATGGCCAACGAAGAGTGGTGAGCTTCGACAGAGGGACTTATTTTCTGCAGAAGTTACAACATTGGGATCAATAAGGCATAAAAATATAGTGAGGCTTCTGGGCTGTTGCAACAATGGGAAAACTCGATTGCTCTTGTTTGATTACATCAGTAACGGAAGTTTGGCAGGATTGTTACATGAGAAGAACATAGTTTTGGATTGGGACGCAAGGTTTAAGATAATAGTGGGAGCTGCTCATGGTTTAGAATATCTTCACCATGATTGTATTCCTCCTATCGTCCATCGCGACATCAAGGCCAACAACATATTGGTAGGACCACAGTTTGAAGCTTTTCTTGCAGATTTTGGACTTGCAAAGCTTATGAATTCTTCAGATTGTTCTAGGGCTTCCAACATAGTAGCAGGTTCTTACGGGTACATAGCTCCTGGTAAGCATATTTTCTTTAAAGTACTATGATTTGTTCAGCATTTTCTCAATGCATGTTCCACTGAACAAATATACCTGAAGCTCTGTAGAATTGTTAAGCAATCCTTCTAAACAGTCCTCAATTCAGTAAATCATTGTGTAAATCAGTTATCAAGTAATGTTCAGGATTTTTAGTTTACTTGTGTACTTTCAATTGGTTCAGACATCATGCTCTAGACAAAAAAGATTCATGTAGCCAAAAATCCTTCTAAACAGTCCTCAATTCAGTAAAACATTGTGTAAATCAGTAATCAAGTAAAGTTCAGGATTTTTAGTTTACTTGTGTACTTTCAATTGGTTCATACATCATGCTCTAGACAAAAAAGATTCATGTAGCCAAGTGGAAGTCTTCGGTACAAGGACAATATTTCAAGTTGAGCTAGTGGATTTGTTAGATTGTCATTGTTGCGGGTTTCAGAAAGAAATTTCTATCATTCTTATTAATTCCTGGGTTTAGATTTCTCTTATACCACCAGGTCAAATTTCACTAAAACATTTTTCCACAGTTTCTCAGTTTTGAATTACTCGTGCAGCCTGATTGATTCAAACCCTTAATTTTCACTGCCTTCTAACTAAATCCTTATAGAAGTTAAGTAGTTATGACTATAAATTTTGCATACATCTGACTCTACAGTTGGTCCTGAAATGTAGAATATGGATACAGTCTGCGGATCACAGAGAAGAGTGACGTGTACAGCTTCGGCATTGTGCTACTAGAGGTCCTAACAGGGATGGGACCAACAGATAGTCAGATTCCAGAGAGCATGCACATTGTCAGTTGGGTTAACAAGGAACTGCGGGAAAAGCATAGAGAATTCACAACAATCCTTGATCAACAATTGCTGTTGCGGTCTGGAACACTAATTCAAGAGATGCTTCAAGTCCTAGGGGTGGCTCTACTGTGCGTGAATTCATGCCCCGAAGAAAGACCCACAATGAAAGATGTCACAGCAATGCTCAAAGAGATCAGGCATGAAAATGAAGATTTTGAAAAACAAAATTCCTACAGCAAAGGCATGGTAGCCAACCCAAACGCAGCTGCTCACTGTTCTAGTTTCTCTAGATCATCTGAACCTCTTATTAAATCTCCTCTCCAGTTACCATAGTTACCCCATCTCCTTGTATCTGAGTGACATGATTCTTTATAGTAAGAAAATAAATTTGCACAATTTTTTAAGACATGAAGTACCAACTGGAATTTTTACCCATGGTAGCACCACAATAAATTTCTGCTTCATTCTATTTGGGTTGTTCCTTATTTTTCTGACTTTTTCCATCAAGTATTAAGATAAAAGAAATGTCCATCTAATCCATATACCTATCACACTAATAGGATCTGTTAATGAAATTAAGAAAATGACAGTTGAGTCGTTCCTTTTAAAAAGGGCAGCACACTGCACGAACATTCTGGCCACCATGAGGTCTAGAAATGGTCAAATGTACACAACGCAGCCTAACCCTCATGTGCGGAGAGACTTTTTCCCTGATTCGAGTCTCTAATACTTAAGTCACAATGCATCAGCCTTGCTGCTCTACAAAGACCCACCATTTGGATCCTTCCTTCCAAAAGCTTTAAAGCTATAGGGAAATGCAGTTTATATTTCACTCAGGAAAATGTGTCGAACTGTTAAGAGCTTGTTAAATTGATAGAATATACACCTACATGAAAATGCCAACATGCCTCTAGAAACTATATTAAGGTTCAAACATGCAAACAATGTCTAGCAAAATTGGCTCTCGAATTACAAAGGTATGAAGCACTTTGTAAATGACTAAAACAACGTCACAAAATTCAGATAAAAAATCACATCTATGAGCAACACAAGTCTATTTCAAATAAAAAAAAGAGCAGCGCAAGTCTGACATATTAGCAAAAAGTTGGAAGCTATTGTAACAAGGAATATATGGTCATGGCTCAGCTAGCACGTGCAGTTCCCCAAACTGGGGCCCTAGAAAAGAGAGATGTAGCTTTCAAGCCCACTGGGTTGGTTGTCAGGCAGAAGTGGGCTGATAAAAAGCCATGGTCGTGACAAAATCTTTGTTGGCATGAACCAATCAGCACAGAATATGGGGAAACAAATGGCCCATCATTCCCTACCAACTCTCCCAACCTCTCTTTCAGGATAGATGAACAGACATCATGCTCCACGTTCCTGAAAGATACATTGCTTCAGTCATTTGACATCAAACCATCTTGGGTCCACAGGTAGGTTACAGTACCTTATCAAACTTCAATGGCTAAAAATGAAAGGAACCATCCCTAGACCCAGTTATATTTTATCTTTCCTCCCATATAATTCAAATAATATTTTGTATCATTTATGCTACAATCTTGATATCCCATAAAAAAAATGCTACCATCTTGATATGGCTCCAACCATATTGTCTTTTCAGGCAAAGCCTCGTTAACAAGTATCTCAAAACTTATTCACATCTAATTTTCTTGAGTAATAAACTTATATCATAAAACCATAGTGTTTAACATCTTTTAGTAATTCCATTATTAGTTAAAATTAAAATATCGGTTTAAGCCAATGCCCAAATACAACTGCATGATGAGGATCATGCATCTGACAATGAAGCCACAAGTTATGCATGAATCGGGACCTTGTAATTCTTGCAGATGATGTGGCCATGCTGCTGTCCGCATAATCCTCATTGTGTGGCTGTGTTTGGACAAGGTCGCATTGTCGGCTGCACAATCCTCATCATCCAGCTGCATTTGAAAAAATCCACACTGTGAATTGTTCTGTAAGCCTCGTTCATCCAACTTTACATTACTTTTGAAGTATAAAACTGCTGGTGTGAATTTCGTCTGAACTTCAAGCGAAGCCAACTTTGCTTTACTTCTGATGTATATGAATGTTAGTGTGAATTGAAGTACAAAACTGTTAGATACCACATACCAATAGGAAAAACACAGATAGAATACAATCAAGAAATAGCAACAATTTTAAATGAATGCAATTAGCCTCCTAAATGCTTTAAGAAAATAATGCTATAGTAGTGATACTAAGCCAGAACATGGCCTACTATGACAAAAAAGAGTATTAAGCCAGAAAATTAACAGACTTGGAAGTGCATGATTATATCATGTCATGGTTGAATACAAGATCTAAGTCCAATAAGCTAATTCCACACTTCTTGGAACACAATTCAGTCCAAAATTTTACGTCGAGAATCCCATCACGCACTTTGAAATGTCCCACATCTGATCAGCAGTTTCTTTTTTCCAAGATTGTCCAAGATTTTCTGTAAGCATTCGTCCATATACACGCACAAGAGCATAGACACATATGGGCCAAATGTTGTTACCATAGTCATTCAGTTGCTTCCGCAGCAAACCCAAACAGCTTATTGCCAGTTTCAAAGCAAGACGCCATGGTGGCAGTGGAAAGAACTATGATAATAACTTCATTCAACACATATAAACACATGGAGAAATTCCATTCACTAGTAATTTAGTTTATCTCATGATATTGAGGTCCTAGAACCTACATATTCACTCGATGGCATTTATCTTTATTACTTCTCCATCTAGGACCATACATGTCAATATATATTGCAATCATACATGATTGGGCACTGCACAAGGACCGTTAAAAAATGTGAAATAATCACAGATATTGTGGTTGAACCCTCATTTTGAACAAGAATACAGGAGGGATATTACATGTGCAAAGTTTCACATATTACATGTGTAAGAATTGCAATATAACAACGTAACATATACATCATCGGCCGTTGCCAACCAAACTCCAAGAACTGAAGTGAACTGAAAAGAATACATGAGGAATAAGAAAAAAAAAACATGATTAGAACAATATATGTTTACCATATAGAACAGCAGCTATGGACTCATAGCTATTATGAAGACAACATGACACACCTGAAGGCATAGCAGCATGTAGCCTCAGGGAAGCTCAAGCAAAGTTACTAATTACAGCTTCCTCTCTGGATGCCACTTTATGCTGCATCCAACACTTTTACCAGATGGGAAAAAGAAATTATTTGAGCTCGTAACCACTGATCAATAATGCTTCCACTCATTTTCTATTAGCCTTTCCTTTTTACTAATGAGAAATAGCCAATGCATTCTTAAGGAGGAGAAAACAGGATTAATAATAAGAAATAAACAAATATGGATACCTGGGCTTTTGGACAGATGGTACTGGTTGGCCACTGAGAACACGGTCTATTGCTAAGCTTAAGTCCCTAGACAAAGTTTTGTGAAAGGTTATTAAAAATTTATGAAAGAAATAAGAAGTTGTGAGGACACACTTATATTTAATAAAGCTAGAATTGCACAAACCAACCTTCCCGTGACTCGAACAGTATTACTTGGTCTTGAATCATCAAATTGGCCATGATACACAAGCTCAAAGGGCCTACGGCCATCCTGCCACAAAATGATAAAATTAAGCTCATGCTGACAATGGCAAATAACTTGGTTTTGTAATTACATTGAGTGGTAGGCAATACCGAAAATTAGATCAAAATGACTGAAATAGGATGAGGAATTGAGAGGATGACTGTAAATTGAGCACCTCTGAGCAGAAACTAGATAAGACACTACAGTTGGAATTGGAAATACTTAATAAATCCATGTAAGTCCGAGTACCTTTTTGAATAGGAAAAAATCTGGAGTGCAAACAGCTCCAAAATCTTTTGCAACATCTTGTGACTGCATATAAGCATACTATTCAAACACTGTCTTTTGAGGATAATATATATTCACCAATATAATGATTTCAGGAAATGGACACCAGTCAGATTGATGGGAACATAATCTCTACAAGCAGGATACTAATTACAAGATTAGAAAAATTGTTGGATTCCAACTTCCATACGTAGAATTTCCCGTCCGTCACAGACTACATATTTGTGTGTTTATATACATATGTGGAATTGTTAAAAGACCACACCCATGGCATCGGACAGTTCTTTGGGCTAAAATGAAAGGAAAGGTTTTGCCAAAGCAGGTCCTTGGTGCAGTGTTTGCTGCCTTACCTATCACATATGCAGTGAGCATAATCTTATCCAAGGCATATCCAAGGTTTTCCTTCACCTTTTGAGTTATTGATGGTCAAAATCTATCCAAAGCAGCAGAACAGACTGAAAAGAGGTCCTAAAAGGTTATTTAAGCAGTCATATGTTTTTTCAATGATACAAAGGGGATTCCCTCATGATACAATGGCTCACTAAACATTTTCTTGCTAAACCTTACTAGTTACTACAGTAGAAGATCATCGTTAGCTTTGCTCTTGTTTGAAACTACACACCTTTTCATTTCCCAATAGGGAGGTTAGTATGGTATTTCAACTAATTAGCTCAGCGTGCTGTCAATGTTAATGAAGCTATAACCTTAGAGATAGATTCAGATATTATTCACACTGTTCTCCACATTTGATCTCAGACAATAACACCATTTTGATATCACATGTCAGACGTTTTACATCAAGTAATACCAGAGATGATGCTGTGTGCCTAGCAAATGGTTAAGGTGCTAGCAGGAAGATAGTCTATAGTCAATTATCTCTTTCTATGGTACAACTTCCAGGAGATATTACCGATAAGCTATTGCCTATTCTAGGATATTGCTTTTAAAGGACTAACGAAGGATGCATAGATTCTTCCGACCAAAAAAGTATACAGGCAAAGTATGCGGAAGTGTTGAGTCTGTTGACCAAAACAAGGCCAGTTGTGGTAGCCTGGAATTCGATGGCCATAAGCAACAACTATATCACATTTTACAATAAGGTATAAAAATCACCACAAAAAATGAAGCAGGAGGAGAGCAAGAAGCTTACCTCATCATAAAGATATGGGAAAGGATAGTTAAATAACTTGGCTTCTTCTGCCATGAATTCTGGTCCATCCTGTGAGGAAAATAGCTCAACTCGGGAGAAATCAAATAATGGCTTAACACAGCTCAGAACTAAAACTATAGTGTCATCTGTTCTGAACCTGTGGGTGAGTTGCAGCAGAGTTTGAAGATATCGCTACTACTGCAAGCCCTTTCTGCAACAGAAAACAAGAACTTCTGAATATGCAACTTTCTTTGTAGAGTCATCAATTTAACCAAGTGGATGGTAAACATGACATAAGAAGCAAGTGAATCAGGATGAAAATGGATCAGCTACCTGCCTACCAGCATATAGAAAGTTGAAAGCTTCACAATATCTTTTTTCAGGTGTTTGACAAATGGACAGTGGTTGCAAATAAACATAACCTGCCACCACGTTGTTATAAGCAACTCATAACTGTTCTATATTAATAAAGAGAAAAAAACTAAATTGTGATGTCTGGTGAGATTGAGAAGCCGCATTAGGATTGTCGTTTGGGTAGCTATGAGGCCAATCATCCAATTGGCTTAGCCTGGCCTGGTGTTGTTCTGCAGGGCTACTAGGTCAGGCCTATGAATCCTGATCAAAATGACATTATTTGCAGATTGAAAATTTTCCATGGTAAATCACAATAGGAAATAAGGTGCATGCAATCTCACTTAAATTCTTTATGATCTACTTTATGGACCTTTTCTTTCATGCCTGAGATCTTGAACATCTTAACGAATTCATATAAGCGCAAAGATTCTAAATTCCATGTGAAAACAGCACTCACTCAATATGTGTGCGTTTGAGAAAATGCATAATCAAACCTGAGCCCAGAGTTTGCAAATGCTTCATTCATACGTAATGATGTGTATGCATTACTACTTAGCTAACTAACTTTTTGTCAGCTAAAATCTTCCCTAGTTATGTAAGGCTCTGTAAAGGTACTAAACATTGATTGTTTGCAGTTACTGTTACCTATTAATCAAAACCATTGGTCTACCTAATTTGCAAACTAATGGGTAACAATACAGCCATTACAATATTTGCAAGGCCTTATCTCGATACCAAGAACTAAAATAGCGTCATTTCATGTAATATATCAAGGTGACCCTCCCATCATTAGCTATGATAGACACAGTACACGGCAATTGACCATTTTGAATAACAGAGTTGTACAGTTAAACAGAACGAGAAAAGTCATTCAATTTTCATGAAACAAATTAACGCAACCAAACAGCAATCAACAAGATAAATAGAATAACACAAATTTATCCACACCATAGCAACAAAACAACAATGAAAAGTAAACCAATTTATTAAGAACAATGAAAGACTTGTACCAGTAATGCTGGATATGATTCAAATTCGTCCAATTTCCACGTTTTCAAAGTAAGCGGCTCTTGAAGCTAAATGGGTCGGTCCACAACAAGAAAACGCAAATCAGATTTCAAATTTATATGAAGAATTCTTCAATAATTCAATGCACTTATAAAAAAAACATGCCTAGATATATGCATGCCCGCCTACACATATGTAATTAAACCTGTATATATATATATACCTCGAAATGGGGAGCTCTGAAACCAAGGGAGACTCTTTTCGACTCAGTTCTTGCGGCTCGGATTACAAATTTTCTTGCGGGTACGGTGCTCCTGCGTTGCAGTTGCAGAGGAAAATAACCCAATATTGAGGAATAACATCGTAATGAAGGAAAAGAGTCAGACTTGGTACTTGCTAACGGGCACGGAAGACTTGGTAAACATGCGCCAGAGGAAGACACAGTTACAGTTCTAGCAGCCATGTCTACGCGGGGGGGAGGGCGGGGGGTGTTGATATGAGAATGAAGCCTGCAACAGTTGTCTTAGATAACAGTCGTGAAGTGTGAAAGTGAATCCAATTCTGTTGCTATGGGCTGGGAACTGGGCCCATATATAGCAGGCTAACATTTTTTTTTCTTGTTTTTTGAGATAATAGGATATGAGTACTTTTTTAAAAATTTATTCTCTCCGTTTCAATATATATGTTGTCTTACACAATTTTTTTTATTTCATAATATCCGTCGTTTAATGAAACCAATGCATAATTAATATTTTTTCTTTCAAATTTACCTTAAACTTTTCAATGTATTAGATTAGGTTGAGGATAAGTGTCTTTCATATTTCTTTCCTTCTTAATACGTATTGAATAAAAATATTTTACTCTTGTGTAATTATTTTTTACTCATATTAGAGTTATTGAATAGCTCCTTTAATCCTTGTGCAAAAATCTTAAACGACAGTTATTTAGGAACGAATAGAGTATTCTGTTTTAAGTATCACCTCCAAACTTATCCTTCTTTAATACCTCTTTTTCATCAAATAGTTGTCAATAAAGCACACATTTTAAAATATTTTCAAATTCTTTCTAAAATGTATTCCATAATTATCTCTACCATAAATAGTGCATACCTAATTGACAACTTTTATATTTTCAATATCTAAATATTCGAATGTAAGACTTTCAAAATTTCTTTATATATATATATACACACACACACACAAACACATAGTAATATCAAACACTAACACGCTCAACAAAAAAATTTAACTAAGTTTTTTATTGAGTATGTTATTGTTTGATGTTACTATTTTTGTGTTGAGTGTGTTATTATTTGATGTTACTAATTTTTTACTAAGCGTGTTACTATTTGATGTTCCTATTTTTTTGTTGAGCGTGTTACTGTTTGATATTATTATATATATACATACACACACACACATACACAAATATATATATATATATATATTTTGTTGAGCGTGTTACTATTTGATATTACTATTTTTTTGTTGAGCGTATTATTGTTTGATGTTACTATTTTTTTTGTTGAGCGTGTTACTATTTAATATTATGATATATATATGTGTGTGTGTGTGTGTGTGTTTTATATATATATATATATATATATATATATATATATATAGATATATATATATATATAAAATTTTAAAATTTAAATGATACACAAATATCAAAAGAAATCTTGAAAGTCTCACATTCAAATAGGTATGCACTATTTATGGTAGGGGTAAAAGGGTTTTTATGACTTTTTTTTAGCAGATGTACTTCTATCTCATTTATTTAAAAAAGTGTATTTTTATCCTATTAAGTTTTTAGGGAGGTACTGGCCTCCCTTATCCCTTGTTTTTTTTAGAGAATTTGGAAGCACTACAAAAGTTTAGACTTAATTGAGCTAAAGTACATTAAAGAAAAACTTATCTGGCTTTAAGTGTATTTTTGTGAGATCCCGTGTTTCATTTAAATATAAATTATATTAACATGTTAATATTTTCAAAATTATTAAAATGATGAGAGAAACTTTGAATTGTTGTTAAACGAATAATCGCGTAAGTTTGAAGCACAAATGTGTTGACTTTTGGATCAAATTTAATTTTTGGAAGAGTGTAAGGTTGATAAGGGTAACTATGCAAATGTATTAATGTTTTTAAGTCAAAATAATATTACCATTGAATCCGAGAGGTCCAAAAAACTTGGAATAGTCATTTAACACATTTAGCGTTCGGAGGGATAAAATAGTAATTTTAGTGTTTCGAGTGTAAATTTACTTTAGTTTTGAGATAAATCATAAAACTAAATATTTTTAGGTTAAAATAACATTAAAAATAAATTCGAAACGTCAAAAAACCTTAGAGTAGTCATATGGATTAAATTGAAGATTTTTAGTGGTAAAACCATAATTTTTGAGAAAACCCAAATTTCAGCCCATGAACAATAAATTTTAGAACTGCTGGGTTTAAAACCCAGATTTCAGCCCCTTTTCTTCCATTCTTTCATTCCACTCTCACTCAATACCTCTTAGAATCCTATGAGAAGATAAAGGGAAAGAGAAAAGGGAAGAAAAATGTCTCTAAAACTTGGGTAAAGCTTGGAAATCTAGGAACTTGCTTGGAATTCTTGATTTCTAGGTGGGGTTTTCCTCTCTCTTGCATTTACATTTTGCATTTCATGTATTTTCTTTAGCTAAAATTTACTATGTGTTTGATGGAAAAATACTTATTATAAACCTTGATTTAGTATTGAGTATGCCATGAATTGTGAACTCACATGCACAAAAATGATTTTAGTGTTATGGGTTTGAAACCCTTGTTTGATTTTAGCTATAAGTATTTGATTAAACTTATGATTTGAGAGGTTTTGAAGTATGTTATGATCTTATACATAATATGAGTTATTCTCTTGGAAATGGAAATGATATTAGTGTTGTGAGTTTGAAACCCTTGTTTGATTTTAGTTATGAGTATTTGATTAAACTTATGATTTGGGGGTTTTGAAGTATGTTATGATTTTATACATAATATGACTTATTCTCTTGGAAATGGAAATGCCCTAGTTTGATTTTATTTATTGGTATTTGATTAAATCTATGATTTGGGGGTTTTGAAGTATGCTATTATTTTGTACATAATATATACGAATTATTCTCTTGAAAATGGTTGTGTTGCTTTGAAAATGTAACTTTTGAGATTTGAGCCTAATACATGTTTGATAAAATGTCAAGGTTTATGACATGTATTTTCAAAAGGATTTATGAATATAGAAAATAATTATTTTTGGAAAATGTATGCTCGATTCTGACAGACAGAGAGTTCGTAGACGGTTGGGGCCTATTGAGTGGATTGTCAAGGCGGCTACTAGTCCTAAGGGGGATTGGTTATGGTAGTGGTTTTCGGTGATGGCCTATGTGGCATCACAAGTTGTACCCTACACGTTCCTCTTGAAAAGCAAGAAGGGCGATGAGACCCTAGGGTGCAAGACCGAAAAGGTTTCTTGGGGATGGTTCATGCATGAATCAGTGTGATTGATTATATTGTCCGTATACGAGGCATGCATGATATTTGCTACGATGGTTTGACTTTAAATATATAAACCTTTAATTTATACTTTGTATAATTCTAATAATGAAGTGTTCAGAGATTTTTATAAATGTTTTACTTATTATCTTGTACATGTATTTAATTACGGAAAATTTTCATTACTTATTCATATGGTTTGTGGAATGTTGATATTTAAAACTTTGTAAATATTTGGGAAAACAATTATCCTACTGAGCATGTGGTTGCTCATCCCTTACTAATATTTTCAGATATTAGCATGCATCTTGGGTCATAGGTGATGGAATGCTTGTGGGAGCTTGGATTAGAAAGAATCTTTTTTGGAGCCTTTTTATATTTACCTTTAAAACTTATGTAGAAATATTAGCACTCAAACATTGTGTTTGAAAAGGTTGTCCTGAGGCATTTATGGTGTACACTTTGATCATCCCATAGAGAGATTATTATTTTGGGTATTATAATGTAATGTTATGACTTTGTGTACTAAGTTGTGACATATATTGGTAGTGGATGTATTCGAATTTGGGAGGACTTCGTGGGCCTCTAATTACCACCCCGGATTTAGTTGGATTATATTTTTAATGGAGGCATGTTGTGGATGTTTAGTTAGTTTAAATTATGTTATGCTCTCACATTGATGCTTTTACTAGCTTGTTGGAAGCCCAATTTTCAAATGAAACTCTACCAAAATTTTTGAAAAAAGAAATATGTTTGATAAAATCAAATGTTTTATTTCACTCAATTATTATTATTATAAAGCGGCAAGAGAATTTGGGGTAAATATCTCTTTTTATTAAGTCACGCTTGAATGAAAATTGGGGCGTGACAATTTTTTTAAAAAAGACTAAAAGATCATTTATTACTCTAGTACTCTCCCTCTCTCCATTACTCTCGCACTCTCTCTTTCCTATTTTCTCTCTCTATCTCTTTCACATTGATAATTTATTTTTTTCAAATATATAAAAATTTGATTTAATTTTTTTATCTCTCTCCTATTTTTCTCTCTCTCTCTCTCGCTTTCTCTTCTATTTTCTCTCACTGTTACTCTTTCTCTCCTTATTCTCTCTCTCTCTCTCTCTCCCTCCCTCCTTATATCAACATTACACCAACACAATTACACCAATCATTCACATCAATTAGTTACATTACCATTATAATATACCAAACTCCGTTACATCAATTAGTTACATTACCCCTATAACTTATCAAACAATTACTTATGTGTTCTAATAAACTAATAAGTTACATTAAACAATTACATGATCTTACAACACCAACCCAATTTTTCATCCAATTGTTTACATAAACCAAAAAGTTACACTATTTAGTATCACGACATGATTATACTAATTATATACACCAACTTGGATTTATCATTACACAAAAAATTGTGCCATTATACTAAATTTGATGTATATAATTGGTGTAACCATGTCATGATACTAAAGGTTGCAATTCTTTGGTTTATGTAAATAACTAAATGACAAATTGAGTTGGTGTCATAATTTTGTGTAATTGTTTGGTTTATTAAAATACATGAATAACTATTTGATGTATTATAGGGCAATTGTAACTAATTAGTGTAATTGTGTTATTGTAACTTATAACATTGATATAGAGAGAGAAAAAAAAATAGGGGAGGGAGATATTAAAAAATTAAATCAAATATTTACATATTTGATAAGAAAATAAATTACCAATAGCAAATAGAGAGAGAAAATATGGGAGAGATATAGAGAGTAACAGAGAGAGTGGTGGAGAGAAAATATGGGAGAGATAGTGAGAGAGTAATGGAGAGAGATGGAGAGAAAATAGGGGAAAGAGAGATGAAGAGAATAAAAATTGTGCATAATTTAAAGAAGGGCAAGTAACTAAAAAAATTCAAATATCATTTGAATTTTGTACCTAATCAAAAGACGTTTTATTAAAATTG